CTACCTTCACAGGTCAACCTCAAGGAGCAGGAGGAGACCTGGAGAGAAGCGATCCCAAGATGACAGATGGGGATCGAGTCACCCGCCCAGTCAGAATTGGGCTAGAAGGGGTGTTCGCTAAGCCTGAAATGATTTGACCAAGCTGGCTAGCCATAGGAGACCTTCCCACATCCACAGGCGGCTCCTGCCGAGGTGGAAGGGAGGTTCCAAGGTTGGATGTCGAGTCTCGGTCCCGAGACGAGTCCTCCAAGAGTGGAGAAGGCAAGGAAGCAGAGGCCGGTGGGACTACCAATGTAATCTCTTTAGCCTTCGGCTTCGGCTTCTGGGCTGTTGTCTTCTGCTTCGGCTCCGATGTTGAGGGAGCTGAAGACTCAGAAGAAGCCTTCTTTCCCGCCACTTGCTTCTTAGCCTTAGGTCTGGAAGTTTTCTTAGTCGGTTCCTTGGTCGTTTGAGGGGAGGAGACGATGGTCACCTCAGAACGGACCGTAGAAGTAGACTGAACCGATTCCATATCGGAAGGTTGTGAGGCAGACAAAGTCTGATTCCACAAAAAATATTTAAGTTGCTGTCGGCGGGCTTTCAAGGTCGCTTTAGTAAAGTCCTTGCAATGCTTGCAATGGGCAGTCGAATACGATTCCCCAAGACAAAAAAGACAGAGGGAATGCCCATCCTAAAAAGGCAGCTTTCTGGAACAGGAGGAACAGCGGCTGAAGGGTTCCCTTTTTGCTGACATAAGCCAAGTAGCGTGGGAACTAGTGAAGGGGATCTAAATAGAAAGAGTCCGATTGGCGCATGGCGCCTCAGCGGTCGGTAAAGAGGCCTCAATCAGGAACAATAGGAGCAATCAAGTACTTGCTGTGAGCACCAGAGGCAAAAGAGAGGTCAGGCAGTCCGTAATCAGGGCAACAGAAGTTCGGATATATGATATAGCCAGGAATCAAGTCAAAAATAGGCAAAAATAAGTGATTTTAAAGAGCTCTAAGCCGAGAGGTTCCAACTCCGCGGGCGGGAAAATGGAACTTAAATTTTGGCGGGAGGAGCAACCTAAACTTTATATCTTTTTCCCTATAGCTCTGGAAAATTCCGAGAGGACCAGCGCAGGCGCTGTTTAACCCATCAGTGTGGATTCATAGAGAACCACGTTGAAGAACATGTTGTTAAGATGTGTACACTTTCAAAAGATTTTTATCCTTGAACTCCAATAACAATTTTACTTTTTGTTGTCAATGCAGATACCAAATTTAAGTCATTTAGGTGTGATATCTTGACCAAAAAAAGAAAAGATTGGGGGGGGAGGGAGAAATTTTACACAGTGCTTGATTGGCAGATCGGTCTGCAATCCTATGCATCCTTTCCTAATGGGGTCTCATTAAGCAGAAACAGATTATGCTATAAGGCTGCTTTTCTAGACATACTTGGAATTTAATACCCTGGAGCTTAGTGACACTTTACTTCCAAGTAAACAGTTTATAGTATATATAATATTCTCACCTTTCCCCTAAGGCTGTACTGGGGGAATGCATGATACAGATATAATCTGACTACAACCTGTCATGAATTTGATTATGAAAGCTGAATAGAGATTTATTTTGTAGGAGCAAAGTTAGGCTAGAAATCCGTTTATGTCTGGGTGCAAGTTAGAACGAAGCAAGATGTCCAAGGTCAATTCTTTTTCAGTAGAAAAAAAACTATGAAGAACAAGGTGACCTTTATCACGTCGCCAGGCAACTATCTCAACTCAGAAGGAACAAGGACATAACTTCTTGATTTAAGAGAGATGAGACGAGAGAAGACAGCCTAGAAGATGGACGGAGAGACAGCCTGGATGTCTGCCCAAACCCAGCGAGAGAATTCCTGCACAGAGGAATGAACGCCAGAGAAAAAACTCCGAATGAACTTTTATTTTTCATATTAACAGTAAGCCAGAACTCTATTCAAAAATGTAGTTAGCGGTTTATTATTTTGGTTTTTATAGAGGAAAATGCCTTGTGGTGATGGCTGGTTTTTTTTTGGAAAGAATTGATTATGAAAAGATATCTTGTGTGCTTGTTTAAATTCATTTACTAATTTCTATTTTTCTAATAAAATATAAAAAGTCTAACTGTCTGAAAATTGGCTTCTTGCATAGACCATTAGCTACTACAGTTCATTAGCTACTATAGTTCATTGATTTGTTTAATCAGGCCACGTTTATTAATTGCTACCAATTTAGGGTCCTACCTTTAAGAGAGTACTAGGAAGATTAAATCTACTAGAACTCCTGGATGTTGTTTATTTAAAATCAGTTCAGACTTGGGAGAAGGGGTGAAGCAGTTGCCTAGGGTAAAATTAAAGGACCCAGTTTTACCTGATAAGGAACTGATCATTCCGGACCCCTCTCTGTTCTGTGTAAAAGCAGATTCTTAGGAACGCTTTTATGACACAACCATACAGATTTGTCTCCTTTTATGCTCCCCCCCCGCTTCACATGGTCATTATTTTTTCTACCTCCTCATTGAAGCTGCCACACACAACTGACCTCACATGTAAGTTATCTGCTTTCATCTCCCATTGGTCAAATGGCTTTGATTGGATTAAAATGTTCTAAAGTACACCTATAATTGAGATGTTAGGTGAACTGAGGAGGCACATGTAACAATCGTAATTCACCCTATTGATTTCAGGCTAAGATGCTGGATACATTTGCAAGTTACACATTAAATTCCTCCACTTTGGACACCTATAGTGTCTGCTTCTAGCTTCTAATTTACATGCCAAACCATGAGTAGCAATATGTTCTAGGAGCACATTTTCTTCTATGGATGTCAAATGAAAACAGGTGTGTGAGTGTCTGCAGGAGAGGTTAATTCAAGCATATATTGGACATTCCTTTTCATATGTAGACTTAAATTTAAATGTATCTGACCTCTTCAGCTCCTGAAAATGCATCTGAGACAAGTACAGTACTGCATATTGCTTTCAGATATCTATGTTTAAGTATAAATAATGCAATGCATTTAAAAGACTAGGTAACAGTGACAGTGCCAAGTACCAGTCCAAAACTATGGCATTAAATTTACTAAGATATAGATGGAGCTGAATTGGGCTATTCAAGCAATGTTCTGAACCATGCTGCTAGAGTAATGTTATTAGGGCTAGACCACATAGGAGCGGTCCATGCCACAGTTTCCACCCTCAGCAATCTCAAAACATGGTAAATAGGATTCCCTAGGTTGCCTGAGCAGTTAAGAACCCAGTCTTGATGTGTCATATGTTGTTCTGCATTAAAGCAGAAATGTAATATCAGTATGTCAAAGTTCCCAGAAATACACAAGTCAGTGTAAATTTTCTTTAAATGTTGTTACAGAAGGATCACAAGAATGATTACTGCTTAGAACTGCAACATTTTTTGCATATCAATACTTGAGATTATTCCTGATGACCCACAAGGTATCAGAAATGATCTTCCAGAGAAAACAGGGAGAATATGTTAAGTGCAATGTTTGATGTTGCTTACATTTAAGATATTATGATCATAATGGAAATACAAACATACAGAAATGTTTCTAAGGATTTTTTATTAACATAATTTCTAACTTTAAAGTTCAATGAACTGGGGAAATGATATAGGTGATTAAAAATAAGAATAATTCTACAAGCAAATTTAAGACACTGTCATTTTATATGCAGCTCTGTACTCATTGTCAAAGGCCTCTGCAAACAACAGGAACAAAGCTTCAATCATGGGGAGAAAACTCAGAGAAAGCTGCATTTGTCTCCTAAATTTCTTAATTCCCTGCAATTAATCTTTGACCATTATGCTCGTTATGCTGAGAGCAGACAAAAGTTCCCTAGAACAAGTGCATAACATGATTCCCCCCCCATGACCAAGTGGTAGTTGAGCTTATTTTTTTAAAATAAGCTAATGCATCTTTAAGTCGCTGCTATTAAAAACAAAGAATGCATGCTATAAGATGGTAGGATGCATTGTAAACCATGAATCATTTATTAAACCTTTGTCATGTAAGTTACAATGCTCTGGGAAAAGAGAACCCAGAGACACCTTAGCCATAAAAGAGTAGTAGAAGACATACTATTTTTTTTTTTGAGGGCCTAGTTTGATACATTAAAAACATTTCCAGCAAACATATTTTTTACGGGGATTAGTGTGGACAGCGGATTAATTTCAACCTAAAGTGCCAAATAAGTGCAAAATTATCGCTGCTTTTCTAAACAACTGCTGTTAAAAGAATACTCACAGTTCTGCTATGTTTTACACTAGATCGGGGAGAAACACTGTTTGGGGGAACACACACACACACTCCAATGGCACCCATGCCTTCCCCATTTTTACTTTAAAAGGCCCCTTGTACCCTCTAGAAGTCGCAGGGACAATTTTGCCAGTTTTTCAGCCCTGTCATCTGTTTTAGTCCCAGAAGAGCATGGGAAAACAGGAGTGACTGGAAGGTCTAACAAATGGTAAAACTACTCCTGTGCCTACTAGGAGGTGCAAGGGGTCTTCTTAAGTTAAGAATGAAGGGTGTTTTTTGGGGGGTGCACCTTTAATAGCATGCAGCCAATGGCCTGCACTCCCACAGACAATATATCTCCACTAATGGAGCTGGAAAGATTACTATGGGTAGAATTACAGGCAGACAGTCTGCAGATGGTTGGCTATCCAAAAAAATTCTTGGTGAGTTTGCATCATAAAATATGATTATTTTATGATCAGGGAATATTCTCATTTCTTAGTTTATCCTCTTATGGAAGTGACACAAGACAATGATCCATAGCTGCCATCCATCTTTAAAACTGCCATCAGGTGTTGGAGATAAAACATCCAAAGACTGTCAAGCAAGGTGAGGCGTGAAAGTACATAATTTCCCCTCTCATGACCAAGTGGCAGTTAAAGTCTTATTTAAAAAAAATGTAAGAACATGTACAAATAACATTTTAACTCTCGGTAAACATATCTTCAAATGTGTGACTA